TATTATTAAAAAAAATCCAATTGGATACTCTGACAGTTTATGCCTTTGAAGATGGCAGAATTAAAACAGAGCATGGAAAGAGTTGTACAAGCGATTTGAGATTAGGTATCTGGTACTATGTAATATTAATTTGTGCTCTCATGGTTTACTTGCGGTCACATTTCTTGGTTCTATTTTCAGAAAAATGTCTAGTGGAGAAACTTGAATGTTCAGAGAACATGGAAACTCCTAGTGCACGACCGCAGAGGACAGCCACCCCGGTAGCAGTGGCACAAGTGAAAGGAGGTGGAACGATGACCTGCACACCGTTTCAATCACAGAAAAGAGCAAGGGGGCTGGTCTAGCCACGGGCACGATCCTGTGAAGAAATTCCACTACAAGGAAACAGGTCTTCTCGACATGAGTGGGAAGGCCTCACACTCCGGGCACTGTAAATAGGCCAGTTTGTGCTCACCGGGCCTTCGCTCTCTCAGGGAGGCATGTGGTTTCATATATTAAACCTGACTTGGACTGCCCTTTCACCCTGACTCAAATATAATCACTCACAGAATGGGTGTGAGGAAGCTTCCTAAGCGTGCTCCAGCCAATGGAAGTGAAGTACAGGATACTGAGAAAAATCACATTTATTAAGTGCTTACTATATGTCGATTGTTTGCCTAGTACTTTTTTACACATTATCACGTTGCCAGTTTTTCACTACTGTAAGAGGTAATCCCATTCAATGTAAAGGCAAGGTGAAGCTTACTGTAAAGACTGTAGTCTTTCCCCCATTTCATATTACATCCCACCATCAGTCCTAGACATAAACAGTACTGGAAACAGTGTCCATCAAAAAGAAAAATAAAAGTGGGTTAGCGACTATCTGCTCTAACGAATGGTTAACACATATAAGTAGGCAGCAGTATTTACATACCAAATGGTTAAGAAATCATGACTGCAACAGCACCATAGACTTAGTTTTCTGACTATGAATATATAGAGAACTGTACCTAATTTTCACACTCTTAGTAAGTTGAAATTGGAAGTGAAGTTTAAATGAAGTTAAAATGACATAAGATGGGGAGAATTTATAATGTACAAGAAACAAAACAGTGAATTTGGGCACATCATGTCAAACTCAAACCAGTACATTTTTTGAAATCACAAGTTGTTCTAATACCTAGTAACCTTAAACTAGGGGCTAATTTAAAAAATCATATTTAAAGCACAGTTATGTAAAAATCAATAGATTCCTTCTCTTATGTTTCTTCATCAAAAATTGTTACTCATTCTGGGGCACCTGAGTGGCTCAGTCGGTTAAGCGTCTGACTTCAGCTCAGATCACCGTCTCACGGTTCGTGAGTTCGAGCCCCGCGTCAGGCTCTGTGCTGACAGCTCAGAACCTAGAGCTTGCTTCAGATTCTGTGTCTCCTCTGTCTTCCCCTCGGCTGCTTGCACTCTATCTCTTCCATGGTCTCAAATATAAACATTAATAAAAATTTGTTTAAATAAACAAAATCGTTACTCATTCCTAATTTTTCCTATTGAAAGGAAACTAAATTTAAACCTTGATTGATACTATAATAAAAAGGTAAATTTTAGTTGTTATCAAAATACTGGAATTCTATTTAAAAAATATCAAGATATTTTAAGATCTAATTCTAGGCAACCATTTTCGTTTATTATTTGTCTTCAGCAGGAATAAAAATTAAAAGTCACCTAAAATAGGGCAACTGGTGCATCCGAAATAATTGAATAGGTCTGAATTGATTTGAGAAAAGAAAAGTAAATCTTTTTCTTTGAGTAAAAGAAAAACAAAATTAATTTTAATAGGCCCAAAGACATTCCAAAAAGTACCTTGCTAGTATTTTTTACTTCTGTCAGCACAAATGATTGTGTAGTCTATGCTGATGCCTTAGACTCATTTATTTTATGCATGAATATGTAAACATCATGTTTCCAATTTTATTCTGGAATGGCATTTAATTTCATGAGGCCTGTGATTCACACAATCCCTTGGTTCTATCTCAAATGTGTCCATACCCTCCATCTTGCAGCAGTTCTGGTTTCTGCACCCTGTCAAATGTAACCTTTGTGCTAATTTGGTAAAATCAGTTCTCACGTTTAGTGCTGAGAGACTGATAACCGAATTCTCAAATGAACTACACATTTGCAAGATGAAGTACAGAGCTGTGGACAATGACTGCTTTCCCACAGTGTAAATTCTTCAGACTCAGCTGTCAACATGTAAGTGTGCAACACAAAAGCAGCTTTAACTTGATGACTTTTTTCCTCCAAGGCCATAAAAATGAAATGGATACTATAGTCTCCCTTATGTTATTCCATCTTCTTGGATTTTCTTTCGCATCGACAGTGAAAGCCTGTATGCCCTTTAGAGTTCTTAGTAGATCAAAGTCTCCTTGCTGAACAAATAACAAACATTTTTCCCTCCTACGTAACTATTTTGGTTTGAGAACAGAGCAGATAGCAATGTTGAAAGAGGTTTTTTTTCCCACCATTTTGCCTCCATACAAAGGCCAGGCTTAATAATTGACAGTGGATATTTCAAAATTGCTCCCTGAGATGTTTAGAGTTTGGTTCTTTTATAGTTTTATACAGATAGTATTATGGTGATTTCAGCATCTTTTCCTTTCCTTGGTGAGGCCGCTAATTTCTCATAAGGTCACCCACTATTCCTCCTATGACCCCCCCCCCCAGGATGGATATTTGACTATATGTCCAAACCCTTTTGAACACCACAGTGTCTGCGCTCAATTATGAATGATTTGAGGCATCATCTGCATTGAAGAGAACAAACAACGGGGAAGTGCTGTCAAACTTACTAAAAACTTGAGAGAGCAGGGAACAAGGGAAACTAAGAGAGGTAACTCTTTAAAGAGAAAGGGCTACTTAACAATAAGAAATGCTGCAAGAGATATTGTCCAAATGGAGAGACTGATTTAAATAAAGTGTACAGAAAGTTAGCAGTTATCACCAACTGCTTTTGGAGAAGCAGTTTCATGGACTCAAACTCAGGTTTAAAGTTGGCTAAAGGCAGCATAAACTTCCCTAAATGGACTTAGATGCATAGGGACTTCATATCACACCATGATTAAAGGAAGGGTTTGGATAGAACAGACAAACAAGTCTTCCGTTGAGGGGAGAAAATCACGGAAGGAGAGATAAAGACCGCAAAAGAAATGTACATTGGGTAAAACTATGAAAAAAATATCAATACAATTAAGTGGAAAGGCAGCGTGGTCAAACATGGAAGAGGCACACCACTCATTAATACATAAAAAAATAATAGGATGATCAGAAATGTTGTTGCAGGAGGGCAGAGATGCTGAGCTAATGGGAGGTGTGTTTTATGTTTTCAGTAGTCACTTTAAAATAAGAGACATTTCAGGACAAAGATTATTATACACAACTCACAGTCTCTGGAAGTTTCAATGAAGCTCAACAGCAGAACTGTGATCTTTCTCTAACAAACCAATGAAAGAGAGAGGTGATGAAAGGAATTTTGGGTTCCAGGAAGGGCAGGAAAAACAAGTGTGGTAGAAGTTTGAAGAATGAGAATATTCAAGCATCTTAATGAGAACTTAGACGGTAACCCATGAGCTCCATTCTTGTTAATGAAGCAAAATAAAACGAGGAAAATTGTATTTATTTATTTTAGGCATATAAATTTCGTACATTTTCTCCTACACTAAATTTATTTACATACTAAAAAGAGAAAGAAAGTAAAAAAAAGTATCTACTTGATCAAGTTGAAGCCAGTGCCTGAAGTTCAGGAAACTGGGTTCTTGTTACAAATCTTGTACTACTAGATTAGATAGAATCTTAGATAAAATATTAGTCTTAATTTCTTCACCTATAAAAACTGAGAGAGAATTTAAGGAAGATGAAGAGAGAATAAAATGAAATAATATAAAGTCCTGGGGCGCCTGGGTGGTTCAGTTGGTTGGGTGGCTGACTTCGGCTCAGGTCACGATCTTGCGGTCTGTGAGTTCAAGCCCCGCATCGGGCTCTATGCTGACAGCTTGTAGCCTGGAGCCTGCTTCAAATTCTGTGTCTCCCTCTCTCTCTGCCCCTTCCCCATTTGTACTCTGTCTCTCTCTGTCTTTCAAAAATGAATAAATATTACAAAAAAAATTTTACAAACAATAAAGTCCTTTGAAATTTTGAAAATATTAATGGAATACTACTTGGCAATGAGAAAGAATGAAATATGGCCTTTTGTAGCAACGTGGATGGAACTGGAGAGTGTTATGCTAAGTGAAATAAGTCATACAGAGAAAGACAGATACCATATGTTTTCATTCCTATGTGGATCCTGAGAAATTTAACAGAAGACCATGGGGGAGGGGAAGGGAAAAAAAAGTTAGAAAGAGGGAAGGAGGCAAACCATAAAAGATTCTTAAAAACTGAGAATAAACTGACGGTTGATGGAGCGGGAGGGAGGGAGGGAGGGGAAAGTGGGTGATGGGCATTGACGAGGCACCTGTTGGGATAAGCACTGGGTGTTGTATGGAAACCAATTTGACAAGAAATTTCATATTAAAAAAAAAAGACAATATTTTCAACATAATGTTATTAGCATTATAATTTTTTTAAATGTTCAGTAACGTGTGATGCTCTCAGGGCACTATGAGAGACGTGGAGAAAAAATTTACTACACGTTGACATCTGTCGTGTTGTCCATGTAAGACTGGTAAGCCCTCTTATCTTTTTCCATTGCCTCCCTTCCGCAGCTCCAACCCAGATCTATTTCTTTCCACAGTTAACTGCTGAGAAACTTCAGTTTTGGCATGAAGCAAATATTTTCCTCAATTTTTAATCTCATCTGGCTCTGTTTTCCCTATTTTCTCACACCCACAGTCATGAAGTCACTAGCGCGAGTTTAAGCGCGTACTAAATCTCAAGTCACACCGTTGGTACCGTACAGGGAAAGTTCTCCACTGACTACTCCAGTTAGACGTGTTACGTAACATGCTTGTGCTCTTATACACACCACCTACCGTTGAGCCACCTGGAATCATGCTGCTCTGTTCTGATTGGGTGATGGTGCCCGAGAGTTCTGAAGATCGCAAAATCTCGCCCCATAAAATCAGCTGCGGTCCCGGAGTATAATTCTCCATCTACGTTGTGACAGAATAAAACCACATACATATACTTTAATTCAATTAAGGAAAGAAAAACACAATGAATCAAAAGAAGGAAAGTCTCAAGTTATGACCCTGCTAGAAAGAACACAGATATGCTATCTGCATCATTATGCAATTACTCATTTTTATTCTATGTCTTTGTTGAAGAGTATTTTATTATGAGATCACTCACTGATTAAGCATCTACTCCGTAAGTCCTGACTTCAAATAACTGAGTAAAATATGGTTCAGTAGACATTACATTTATGTCTAACATTTATTATACATAACATAACATAAAAGACCTAACATTTATTCTTTTCTACTATGATGCGAGACAAAGTGCAAAATACAGAGGTATAAAGCTACTGCTGTTCTAATATCCTTATTTATTAGGTTAGGATATCACTGTAAAATCTTCTATGGTTTTTATTTTAATGGAAATTAAACTGTCAATGTATTTCCTTTTCAGTGGTACCTGAGTTAGTAAGATTTTACAATACTTTAGAAAGAACTAGTATTTTCCTCACCAATAATTTTTTTTCTTGCTTTTATTTTTGAATGTATCAGGTGGGAGAAGGGTTCTTAGTAAAAGTTATCACATAGTCTAAAAACAAGTCCATCACGTAGTTTCATATATTAAAGAAATGTATCTGAAGAGGAGGAAATTTTGATAAATATAGGTCATAATCTCCATAGTTCAAGATTCTACTATGTTTTTTACTCATTTTTACTGAAAATATATCAACTCTAGGTCAGAGTTTAATAAATGAGGAATCATAATCACAAGGTTAAAAAAAAGGAAAAGAAAAGAGGGAGGAGAAAAAGAAGTTAATATTTACTGAACACCATTCTGTGTTTGCTGGGGAGTCATGCACTAGCTGGACACTTTCCAATTATCTCATTTAGTTCTGTCAACCACCGTGTGATGTAAATGGTATCCCTACTTAACAGTTCAAGAAACCCAAGGTTGCTCAGCTGATGACTAGGATAGTAAGGGTAAAAGTTCAAACTCAGGCTTGTTTAATCTCAAGCCTCTTACACTAAACTATACCAGCTTTTAATAAACTGAAGGTTGTATAAAAATTTTATTTTATTTCCTTTAAACAGAAAATACCTCATATTATTTCATCTAGGAAACACAGTATTGCCTACTTACTTATAATGAATTATCAGCAAAATGAAACAAAAAATATGAAATCATCTTTAAATAAAATTACCAGTAAACTTAATACTATCTTGCTGATCATTTAGATAAGTTAATGTTTCTGAATTCAGTGCCTTGAAAATTAATCAGAAAATAAAATAGGCATAAAGTATAACTTAAACATTTGTATAACACTATTATTTCCAAGGATTTTTATATTTATAATGAATTTCATATGTATATTGAATATATGAATCAGATTTCTCATGTGATATTCTTTGTTCACACCCTCAATTCTCACTTCCACATGAAGGTTTTATAATGAAAACAGGCATTCTCAGTGGTCTAACTCAAATCAGTTCCTTTGGTACAGCTTGTGGTTCTCTGAAGTGTCTTGATGCACCAACCTTTGGACGACGTCCAAGGCAGTGGAGAAGAGTGATGCAGGGAGAATCAGTGCATAATCCAGGTTATAACTTGAAATACTACTAAATGACACCTTATCTTATGGACTTTAGGATAGTGATCATTTACTTTGGGTTGTTGTGAATCAAGACAAATAAAAAATGATAAAGTGACAATATATTAATGAATGGTACTCATATAACATTCTAAGCTGTCATAATATGGTATCTTTGGGATTTAAAGGCATCTTGTATTCTCTTCACTTAATTAAATATCAAGTTCAAATCTGATCTCTTCTCCCCATAATAGTTGCAATAATATTTTATCTGCCCACAAGGTAAAAAATAAAGCTTTTCTTTTCTTTTTTGTTTATTTATCTTTACTTATTTATTTTGAGAGAGAGAGAGAGAGAGAGAGAAAGAGAGAGAAAGTGCAGGGGAGGGAGAGAGGGAGAAGGAGATGCCCAAGCAGGCTCCATGCTGTCAGCACAGAGCCCCAAATGGGGCTCGATCCCATAAACTGTGCGATCATGACCTGAGCCAAAATCAAGAGTTGGATGCTTAACTGACTGAGTCACCCAAGTGCCCCCAAACAAACCTTCTCAAGCAAACATTCTATGAATGAGCTACCTATGAGTTTCAAAGGTAAATGTTTATTGTCTCCTTAACTTTTACTTATATTTAATCACTATAATACTTTTATTAAGGTTACTTTTTTATCTTTTTACAAATAATTAATAGATGTAACAGATTTTTAAACTTCAGGTAAATTATTTTTCTTGAGATGTGTGAAGAAGGTGGTACTAATTAAAAATGTGTTGTAATAGCAGCCTAAAATGTTCATGTTAATTTCAAATATTTTCATGTTGCAACAGCTCTAATAGGATGCCTTGTGTCCTCTTTACCTTGAAAAATCAAAAGTATTAAATTATTCATTGAACCTCACTGCTCTGTCAAACATGTGTTAGGTGATAAAAATCAGGAAAGGTGAAAAGAGAATCACCAAAAGTGAAAACTGAACAATTTCATATCAGAGTGTAGTCAGACACAACATGTCCAATAGGAGGTTTAATCAGAAATGGAAGAGTAAAGAATGTCATTAATTATTCTTTTCTGGGGGGTATGCCTGGGTGGTTCAGGTCATGATCTCATGGCTCATTAGTTCCAGCCCCGCATCAGGCTCTGTGCTGACAGCTCAGAGCCTGGAGCCTGCTTCGGATTCTGTGTCTCCCTCTCTCTCTTCCCTTCCCCCATTCACATTCTCTCTCTCTCTCTCTCTCAAAAATAATATATTAACATTAAAAAAAATTTAAATATATTTTTATGTCTCTTTGACTTATTTTATTACATAATTGGAAATTAGTAGATTTAATCCCTTTCCCTCAATCTTTTTTTTTTTTTTTTGCTTGTTCAGTGTGAGTAAAATCCATAATTATGGTTGCTATTATGTGTAAACTCTATTCACAGGAGAGCTGAAATAACAAAAACACCACCAAAAGAAAGTGTTACTTAGATATATAGAGGTATTTGCTTCTCTTACTAATATATGTACTTGTTTTATAACTTACACTTTTTATCCACTCCCACATAAGGAAAGCAAAAATCAATATAAATGAAGGCAAAGGCAGAAAGACTGATTTTGTTTCCTTTTTTCACAATAGATAAGTAGGTCATTTAGAGAAAACAGAGAATTCTTCAGCAGGAGAGCTACTGATCAATTTAGTACTAAAAACAGAATTAAAGCACGGACTCAGAAACCAAAGGAAGTTAGCAGTTTAGGCACCAGTTGCCTCCAGTCATAGGAAATTCCCTCCCACCTGAATATTATTTTTAGCAAGAGTCATCTGTGAGCTGTAGGGCACCAGATGATTAAGAGGCCGTGAAGGATACATTCTCATATTACCAATGTTCAATATCAGTAACTTTTTAAAGTAATATATATTTTAATAACATATATTTTTTTTATTTTTAGAGAGAGAGAGAAAGAGTGCATGAGTGGGGAAGAGGGACAGAGGGAAAGAGAGAGAGAGAAAATTCCACGGACCCCAATGCAGGGCTCGATCCTATGACCCTGGGATAACGACCTGAGCCAGTATCAAGAGTCAGATGCTTAACCAACTGAACCACCCAGGCACCACAATATCAGTAACTGTTTTTTACACCAGGCCTTAAATCAGAATTTCTGCTTAGATGTCAACTCTTAGCAGGGATGAATGCTCCACAGAAATTGTATCACACATTTATTAAGCTGGCCCAAATGTACAGGTGTTAAAATACTCTACTCTTGCATTTTTATAAGCAAATAAATAATAATCAACTTAGAATATATACTATTTAGGGGCGCCTGGGTGGCACAGTCGGTTAAGCGTCTGGCTTCAGATCTTCAGATCTCGCGGTCCCTGAGTTTGAGCCCCGCGTCAGGCTCTGGGCTGATGGCTCAGAGCCTGGAGCCTGTTTCCGATTCTGTGTCTCCCTCTCTCTCTGCCCCTCCCCCGTTCATGCTCTGTCTCTCTCTGTCCCAAAAATAAATAAAAACGTTGAAAAAAAAATTTTTTTTTAAAGAATATATACTATTTAATAAACTTGTGTATTTCCACTATGGATTAAAGACCTAGTACCTTTTGTGGCTATATAAAATGATCTAATGAAAACTGAGTATAAGAAATTTACTATACCTCAGTTGGCTTATTTTTGAACAAGCATGTTTAACAAAAAAAAAAAGTCACCTCGCCAACTTCTTTTGCAGTTTCTAGGTCATTAATGAAGTTATCAAATTATATGTTGATTCTCGGGCATAGTGCTAATTTTCCAGTTTTCTGACCCTTAATATAAGTCTTCTTGAAAATCTGAAGTAGTAGATAGGTAAATGTTATCCTACAATGATTCAAATAGCATTATGGTTAGGATACATATTTTTTCCATATGTACTAAGCTACTAGTGAAATAAAACATGAAATTTATCCAATTTTATTAAATTTCTGGTACAACAGTGTACTCAATTAGTTGTTATATATATCAAAGTGGTTGTAGATACTCTAATAGTTTTTAGTCTCTACAAAAAACACCCTATAGCAAGTCTGATGTCTCAAAAAGAACACATCAGACTAACAAAAACTAGTGCTGACAGATGTAACTAAGAACCTAAAAACTGTCAACTATGAAAGTTGCTAGTTGAGTATACTGCCATTCTTCCTTAACTGTAAGCCTTCTAAACTGTCTCTAAGGAAAGCATTCTTTACTGAGATGAACAAAAAGTTGAGTGAACTGCATTTCCACCATGGCAGAGTTACCTGAGAAGCATGTGTTGAAAACAAAAGTTCATATGTACTCTGGACTTTATGTTCACAGCTCAATATGAAGTAAAAATGTGGCTTAGATCAGTTAATGTATTGGATTACAATTCCTAAGAAGGGTGTGGTGAGAAGTAGAAGGTAAAAAAAAAAAAAAAAAAAAACATTTCCTGATGAAACTGCAGCATTACTAACACAGGTGTAATGTGGGACATGGATGTTGAGCAAAAATCAAACAAACCTAAAGACAAGCCATTATGTTGTTAACACCTTAAGTAAATTCCACTCACAGAACAGCACAGTAATTAGAAACAGAGGAAAAATAAATTTGTGTGTCTCTCTCTATTACATGGATACACACACACAGACACAGATACACACACACACATACACACACACAGTGCATGGATGTAATCCATTTCTTCAGAGTAAAAAGGTGTGGGAATAATTTTACATTTTTACATTTACTGAACATCTTCTCTGTATGAATAAGTATAATGTGCTGGCTTTGTTATTTATATCGTACATTTAAAACTAACATTTTTAAGTAGTTAATATGTGCATATGGCACAAAATGAAAAATATAAAATTTATAAGGTATCAAATCTGTCTCTCAGACTCTCAGACTCCTTTACAGCAACCACTATTACTTTTTTTTTCTTGGTTTCCACTTCTACATATATTCCAGAAATATGTAAGCACTCAAATGTGATATGCTATTAAATTGTCTTATTTAGTTCTCACAACTAGCGGAATTATAATGTCCATGCCATTTTACATATAAAGAAATTGAGGCTCAGAGAGGTTCAAATAATATTTTCAATTACAGTTAATTAACTTAGGGAGTACCTCTTTGATCTAATACCAAGTGAGAGCATATTCTAATGTCAAATTACATTCTTTCCTGGGGCAAGGCAGAATTCTAGCTTGGGGAAACAGATCATAACTAAAAGTCCTAGACCCTTGCCATAGATTTCAATAATATGATTTAGTGATGGATTATTTCTAAATTATTAGGACTATAATGCCTGGAGAAGACTTCAATAAGGAAATAAAACTGCTTTTCATATTGACTATTGCTTTTATGTCATGAAAACGTGAGATGACACTTAATTAGTGAGGAAAATACAAGATTTTATTCTTGCAGCCACACCTGGCATTTCTTCTGAGCAGGGGAGAAACTGCTATTCTTAATAAAAAATAAATAAAGTCATTAAAATATTTACAGGTAGATGAAATAAAAAATACTTAAAAATTAATACTGGAACTATTTCATATTGACAAAATGATTTTTATTAAAGGAGATTTGAAAAATTAACTTTACTAAGGTCATTTAAAAACTTAGGACCTGTTACAGGATTTGGAGACTTAATTTAGTAGCTATGCATGGCTAAGGAAAGAATCCATATGTTTTGTGGTCATCGGCTTAAAAACCATTTTGAAAAGAAGTTATACTAAACCTTGATAAATTTCATGAACTAATTTTTTAAGCTGTCATCTGGCTTTAAAGCTTATTACTGGTTGAAACTGCTTACTAGGGGGACTAGTGACATAAAAAGTATCTGCTGTCAGGATTCAGCTAACCAGTTTATAGGTGGTTTGAGCCAAACATGAAACTTTATTTCCTAGTATTGGGAACAGAAACAGCCCGGGACAACCTTGAAAATTTCTCTTATGTGCTGAAATAAGGAGAATATATTCAGTCTTTCGGGCAGACAGGCTTTCCCAACAGGCAATCTCTAACACACAATGTACTACCTGTATATTTCAGAGACAGTTCTTACTGTTATACGTAAAAGTTTGGGAAAATATTCATGTTGAAAAAACTCCATTAAATCATCAAGCACTCTTTTTAAAAAATCACAAGAGAAAATGCCAAAAAAACCCACCAAGGGGAATTAAGTGTACTATGAGAAGAAGAATTTATAGTACAGTTATAAGGAAAGCAAGTAACAAAGTCACAGCTCTTGAATGAAAATGATGTTCCAGAGATTTTGAGGGATTTTCATTTTTCTGTACCTTGCTATTCAGCTGATTTAGAAATTAATTTATGTGGGCTTGAATAGTTTTCCTTGTCAATAAGCACTAAATACCTCTAAATGTTACTCAACTATTTGACCATATCAGAGAGGTGAGGTCTGGATTTCCATTTGAAAGCTGCTTCTTTTTTAGCCACACATCCTTTCCTTGATTCATGAAACTTCCATCATTCTCTTTTCCTTTTCACAACCCTAAACAGCTTTTTCAAAGAAATTCTAATATAAAACCAAAACTATGGAGTTTCATATTCTTTGTGGACTTGTGTGGTTGCATACCATATGAACTATGTAATACTTACTTGTCATCATCCTTTCTCGATGGAGTATTAAAATAAATAATCAAGCAAATCCCCACTGAGAAACATACCACAAATTAAAGCTGCTTTAGGCACGAGTTAACATACTGCTTTTTGAACAATATCTATCTTTTTTTCTTCAGTATGCAATTTAAATAAGTACAGGCTGCAAGTTTGTGCAAGGTAGAACTCCTCCCCTTTGTTTAAGACAACTTTCAAATTTCTGTGTGTGCACTTAAGGAAGTTATCTACATGTAATCACTAGGCCAGCTGTGAAGAGGAAAATTATAAGTGTGCTATGTTTGCTGCATTCCTCCAGGTCTTAAACTTTTGTTAAAATGCTTCATGAATGTATCAAATGGACTGCAACTGTCTACATTTGAAAAGCAATAGAGGAGATAATTCATGTTGTACTGTTCTCATTCTTAATAGAAAAGAGATCAGAGATCAGCGGAACATACTAGTAAACACTAGAGAATAGTGGTAAAAATAGATCTTCATAGTTAATGCTGTAGTCAATATGACTAGAGTTTATTTTGCTAAGTAGAAAAAAAAGTTATTTTTTAGAAACAAAAGACTGGCAAAATTGAACCTTATGACATATCAAATAATAACCTAAATTTACTTTTTAAAAATCTAGATTTATTATGCAAGATTCAATTAGACATGTTATGCTTGATAAGTTTCACAACCATTTTTGTTATGAAATAATTACCTTCTATGTTTTCTAGAAAAGGAAACAAAAAAAAGGAAAGAAAACGAAAGTTATATAATTTCTACATGATCATATAGAAAAATGTATTCAGGAACAGACTAATGACTCAGAATCTTTTGTGTTTTTGTTTGTTAGCACGCCTAAAAGTCCAAAAAAAGAAAAAAAGAAAAAAAGAAAAATTGTTTAATGATGTATCACCTTTTTTTCACGTGTTTATTTAGTGGTAGTCTAAAGGTGATTAAAAGTATGTGGAAAGAATTCTTTATTTTTCAATACAGACTAAAGTTTTCTCCCTCTTTAGCTTATTTCAATCTTTCTATCTCCATCCTTTGAAGTATGACTAAGGATTCCCCACCCATCTGCATTGCTGAAGGAAAAGAAGAAAGAAGACAACCAGAAAATGATGGTTAGAGGCAAGTGTAGAGGAAATACATTAAACTTTTGTTAGATTAAAAAAAATGGCGTAAAGCAAAAAACAAAAAAAAAAAGATGAATAGTGAAGTCCTTCCTTCATTTCGAGGTGACACAATAGGTTCTCTGAGAATTGTATGACCATTAAAACTGTACTGATTAAGTTATCCAAATGTTGAGAGTGTGACAAATCTTGTAATTACAATGAACAAAGATAGACAATCTCATTCTTTCCTTCTGACTTGTCAAAATTCTCCCTTGAAACTCCTCTTTTATAAAAAGAAAACCAAAACGACTTACTCACAGATAAGAATTTTAAAGTCTTAGTGGAAATGTATGGTGACAGCGCAGGCAATTTTAAGGACACGTATTAAACCATTTTGATTACAAAGAATCACAGACGAAACAGTACAATAATCAAAGCAGCATTTAGTATTTTTTTCTTCATTTTCAAAATATTTTAAAATATCTCAACTGGCATCCTCCTAAAATAGTTTGTGATTAGTAATGGAAAATGTTGGTATATAAAAAGGAACAATCTGGTTATTATCTATAGAAAATTCACTGTTTAACTGTTGACCACGCACCTATTAAAAGAGATGCCGTCAGCAGTTTAGGGTCATATGGACTCTTCCCACGGCCATTTTCAAAATGGGAGTCCTCCAGCTTAAAAATATTATCCTGTAGAAAAGAGAAAGAAGGGGAGAATTTATTTAAAACAAGAACTATGTTAACATACCTGTTAACCAGAGAGAGGTTGAGCATTTGTGTCTACCATCAAGCAGTATTATTTGTGTAAACTTTAGAGATGGCAAAATAATTTAAGTGGATTAAAACCAACTATTAGTAGCCAAGCATTTACTTGCTCCGTGATTATTAGTACCAATTAGCATGTTTCAGGTAATAATGTACAAATGAATTCTAAAGAATGAGACCAGTCGTGATAAGAATAGAGTGATCATTTTATCACATAGGTATGCCAACCATGACCCTAATGGCTCTTGAAGGAAAGAATTTTAAATTTAAATGATTCTTTTTCTTCCTACACATACAGGAAAATATAGCAATTTACTACATCAGATATCTAGAATAAGACAGATTATCTTACTTTTCTGTATGTACTTTCCCGAAGGAAATGCTAATTAGCCATAGCAGTCACTTGACCCACTCCATCGTTCCCTCAACTTTTCTGTTTATGTTTCTCGAGCATTTTTAAATTACTCACACTAGAAGGTGGAAGATACCTGAAACTCTCTTTCTCAATTTCTGTAAGTGTGAAATATCACACTGTATGTTATGGAAGGTGTTGCCTGAAGGTAGTGTCATCAGAACAATAGCACAGAGGTGACATATGTTTATCACAGGAAAATCTGCTCAGCTGAGGCTCAGGTACCCAGAAACTGGAACATTTGACTACATACAGAAATAATCACAAGTACCACGGTAGAAAATATCCAGAAAGCACTGCAACAAAAGCCTTAATAAGGAAGTAAGTAACTCATGACTGAGACCCCATCTCAGCTACAAGTATCTAGCTACTGAAATGTCTATGTGACCATGGAGTAAACCGGGGAGAGGGGTCACTTCTAAACCCTCTTTTTAGAACCAAATGCTCTGGGAATTAATTAGGTCAGAATATACATGCTTTTGCCAGTAGCACATTAACTTGTCCACAGGCTGAAATAAAATAGCTTTTTTGGCAATTTCTCTACAATTCACATAAAGTATTTTCTATCTCCTTAGAATAATAAAGGGTATTCATTTTATGGCCAATAAAGATCACTTTATTTAACATTTAATATTTCTGATGGAGCTAATGGCAGGGTTTCAAATCATGACTCTTAAAATTCATTTGAGTTAGAAAAGAAGAGAGAAAAAGGAAGCCAACCAACAGTGTTTTCCATCTTTACTACTGTGAGAATTACTGATTTTAGCCTTTTTTGCAGTGATTCTGTATTTGGTAATCAGCTATTCCCTAGTTATGATGGTTGTTTAGCTGAGTTCTGAAATATACAGAGCACAAAAATTTATGGGGTTTCTCAGAATTGTGCTAAGGTGCAGTGGGAAGGGCAGTGAGTCAGAAGTCAGGCCCACCTGGCTCAATGATTAGCTCTGTTATTTTTTTGTCACCTATTAATGTCTCTGAGCCCTAGGTCTCTAAAAGTCAATGGCAATAGGGTATGTAACCTCACGTTTAAGGATTGAAGAAGTGAAACAAAGCATTTTTGAGGCAGCAAAATAAAAAAAAAAAAAACACAAATTATTTTTACTTTAATACTGTTCATATAACCACTATAACCAAAGATTATTCAAATTTAGTGCATATCGTTATCATTATTATAAACTTTCCTAGTATAATTTGAAAGAAATATTGCTTTAAGACAGTTATGTGAGTTAGAAAATTATAAACCTATTTACAGATACAAATTTATCATAGGCACATATGAAAATTATAATATGAAACTTGACATATGCCAAGAAAAAGTACAGAAGAATCTCTTGAGTATTAGATTATTTTGATAAAAATTAGGTAATAAACCGGAATTTTCTCAGTAAAAGATACACACTCTGTTGCCACAAATCACAGAAAATGTTATTAAAATTTGTATGATTATTTCTCACAATAAGGAAGCAGTAAGGAGAAGTGATGGTGTGGCTGAAAATACTGTTATAAGTATTATTATAAATTTCTTGTCCTCATAAGACATTTTATGACACTGACAAAGATAGAGGAGCCATCCATCAAAGTAGGAGTCACTGAATGTCTGGGATCATGTGTCCAAGTTAATAAGACAATGCCAAGGTAGATAAGAAGTACTTCCAACCTCAGGTTTAATATTTGATTTACAAGGTAAAGGATTAAACTTCATAGAAGAGTGTTTAAGCATGTCACTTATGGTTCGAGAGAAGATGAAAAATTACCTTTTGCCACGGTGTCAGATAATGTGCTCAAAGCTGGCCTTCTCCTTTCCCCTTTTTCCTTTAAATGTAACTCTTACCCAAATTTCTGGGTATCCATCATGTAATTCTATATTCTTACACAGCTTTACTAAAGAGTAAAACATTGAATTTCCTTTCCAGCCTACAGACAAGGGAGCCTGGAATAAGTATAATTCAATTTCTGAATAGGAAGGTAAAAGACTTTTCTTACACACAACTGTTTATAGTGTAAAATTCATACCCATTACATATAATAATGGGGTGCAAAGGTATTGGTATCAGACAGAACCAAGTATTATCCCGGATCTTTCTTTTATTAATTCTGGGCCTCAGGCAACTCCTACACCCTTCTGAAATTCCAATTAGTATGCACTCAAAAAATATTCATTAACTTCATTTTTCCATTGTCTATAGTTGCCACAATAAAAACATTCTTTCCTATATTGATTGATATCTCTTGCGCCATATTGGGAATGCCTGCCTATATTTTCACTGGTAGAAATTAGGATAGCTATTGAAAATACATGTAAATGCCTTGGACTCCCAAGATGCACTGAAAATCTTTCTTATGTACAACTAGATCACAGTCTAGTTCAAAAGCTTACCTGAAAAAAATATCATGAATTATAATATGTATAACATTTCTCAACTAAAATACTCTCCTTTTAATATGTCTGATGTGATTCATAAGAAACAACTATAATGCTGTTTTTTGTCTTGTAAGCAAGACCTATTAGATGTGTGAAGATATTAACCCGTTGTAAAAGAAAGAAAGGAAGGAAGGAAGGAAGGAAGGAAGGAAGGAAGGAAGGAAGGAAGGAAAAGAAAAAGGCTCTGTGTGTTAATATAACTGAAGAATAACACCCTATGTTGTCATATGTAACATATCACATAGACAACCGTCTGGCTGGGCTTAGAAGGGCTTTTGAAATCTGATTGCTATTCAATGATTTTCTGTTTTAAAAGTATTATATAGATCACACATGTAAGTAATAAGACCAGAAATCCTAAGACCAAGGTATACAATTAAACTTCATAGCTTCTATGTCTTATTTGGGCTGAAGTGATTTTCATTTTTAGAAATCCATGAACAAAAATCTAGCTGCATGGATTCTAATTGCTTTAGCAGATACTATGAGCATATCATATAAGTTATTGGGCTATATTTTATTACATGATTGCATCAGTTTTCAGCAACTATTTTTAGCTTTCAAGACCACTCATTCCCCTTTGTCTTTTGGATTTCCTGAATGTTATTAGACTGTGGTGAGGTAAGGCATTAGAGGAAATAATAACTGTGCTAATGTCTAATCCAAAGTCTTATAAATTATAAACCATTGGTGACATCATGGCAATAAATTTCCGAAATCTCAATCTTCCCCAAGTAATAAATTTGGGGCACAAAGTTGTAATTTTAGTTGTTTTATTTAATGATTAAAACATAAATGATGTTTGTAAAAAAGAAAAAAAGGAAAAGAAAATCCTACATATATGTGACAGAATGACCATTTTGGGTGGGAAACTAAATAAAATTAAGTCAAACCAATACTTGGAAAGTATTTAAAAACATATACTATTCTATTTTCTTTCAAATTGCTCTTTCTCCTCTCTTGCTCCTTATAAAGGACACCTTGTTTGCCAGTTATACTGAATTATCAAAATTTCCCTGGTCGCACTATTCTTTTTCTCATCCCTGCCTGAGACCTCTTTCTTCTCTACTCACTTACTCTCAGCCCTCAACCCCAGGGTGAACTTCCTTTCCTTTAAGAGTAAATTAAAAAGTCTCTTCCTAGGAGAAGTCTTCAGAGATTCTTGCAGATATAATTTATTAGCTTCCTTTGTGCATATCCTAATTAACAATACTACGCAGGCAATGACTATATTGGCTTCAGCAAAGATGGGATGTAATAGGATCTCACAGGAAATATTGTGGCATGGTGTATTTTGCCCATAGGAGATGCTTTTGTGGATCAAATTCATCTGGAATTTACTTTTCCTAAAAAGGTGACTAGATCTATGTTGTGCAATATTATAGCCATAAGCCACATGCGGCTGTTTAATTAATTAAAATTAAAAAGTCAATTCCTCAGTTAGACTAGCTACATTTCAAGTGCTCAATAGTCACATGAGGTCTGTGAATACAGTACTGAATAGATGCAAACATTTCCACTGTCAGAGAAGTTCTATTGGACAAGGTAGCTCTGGATCCAGAATTCCATTCCCTTAAAAATCCATGAAATCTACAAGGATGAATCATAGTGGAAAGACAGTATAGTTTTTACTAACCAGGGTCATACTAAGTAACATTTAATGGCAGTAGAGATGAATATCGGTCCTGAATATTCTTGTGTGTCATTCTTCCATTTGAATCGCTTTTCTCTAATCTATGCAGTTACACATTTTACCCATTATTTAAAGTTTAGGTCATTATACACAATCCATTAAATGTTTATTGATTTTACACAGCAGAAAAAATATTTTCTCCCTGAAACTTGCATAGCAATCTATTCATACCCTCTCAGTGTCATTTGTTACTTTCAGCGTTGATATTCCATGGTGCACATGTTTTTGTGTTTTTTTTTCCTATTAAATTGTTTTGAGTAGAGGAAAAGATATCATTTGCCAAATACTAAAATAGAACTTTGCACTGAGTTAAAGCTCAGTGAAAAAATGAGTGAATAAATGAGTAACTGACTTGAGTTAAAGAGGCTCTGTAGAAAGACTATATCCCAGGGATAGAA